TTGTCAATGCTGTTGTATCGATATATAACGTTATAGCAAAGTGGTCGTACGAAGTCTTCTAGGTCACGCCGATATGGCCACGGAATGAAACCGAATAGAATATCATTCCTTGCTTGTTATGTTTGCTTCCTACCCAGAAAGATAAGTGTACGATATAAGTAGGCATATAGGATATTTCGAATGGATTCACAAAAACCAATGCCGACGGAAAAATGATGATAATTTAGTATATATGCTGCAGATTGAGATACTTCTATAACTATTAGTAAATTAGCTTCAGGGTGATGCATATGTACAGCGTCAAAGGGTCATCCAATATTTTTAGTCATACCTGTAGATGTGGATGTGTAAATAAATTATTTTTTGTTTATTCACGACTAAAACATTGATTTTCCAAATTTATCATACAAAAAATCGTCTGCCTTTGTGATTTATAGCATAAGATATAAGTATTGGAAATTGAAGTTTTTTTAAAAAGTATAACAAATTCAGAAAGAATTAATATATAGTATTCGCAGTAAAGGTACAATATCACCTTGGATTTTCTACCCAAAATAATTGCTTCAATAATTTTGCCTAAAATTTTTATAATTTCGTACGATATTCTAATTGGCTTTTAGTAATTTGAATGTTTAAATTACATTTTTATCACTAATAATTCAATATAAATTATCCTGTCAAATCCTATTCACATGTGCTCTATTCAACCTACGATCAACAAAATTATTGCAGTGAATGGAGAGGAAAAAGCGTATGCCGTGTGAATTTTTTACTGTGCTCCAATTTGCATAGTATTTTGAAAAGAAGCTAATCTTAATCTTAAGTTCAGAAGTAAAAACAATTTGCACTCCGTCACCACTCCCGGCATTAATTGGATTAAAACTATTTTAATTATAATTTTATCAGAACTTGCAATATACTATTTTAAAGGTAATTAAATGAGCTATAACTTTCTCTATCATAAAATTTACCGTAGCTTCTCTTATTTTGAAACGGCGAAGGGTTAAAGGGCTCGAAATACACTCTGATTGGACAGCCGCGATTAATTTTTGTTTTACTTTATATAATATCGATAAAACTCAAATTGATTCTACGTTTTAGTTAGAAAACGTTTGTATTTGAAAAAGAAAAGCGCTATTTTTAGCGTTTTCCCGGCAATTATTCGATTTTTTCTCGCCGTTAGAACCATCCTTGTACTTCAACAAACATTTAAAAAAAAAGAATTGGCAAAATTGTTCCACGCGTTATTCAGTTTTGCGCTTACCAAAACATTTTTCGATTCATTTTTATATTATAGATAGATAGGCGCATATGACAGGTATGTAAAATGGTAAAAAACTAAATAAATTTGTTATTGAAAAAATTCCAATAAAAAATAATAACTTGTAGAAATCATGTCATTATCTGATATGACATGATTTTTATTAGTGCATTTTTCTTCCTGATTAAATTCAATGCGCCAAAAATTGATAAAACTTGCTGACATATTTTATTCCTTTTTTTAAAGAGAGGATAAAAATGCAAAAAAAAGTTTTGAACATTTGTTCTGCATATATCTATTTAATGTTTTAGGAGTCATGATATTTTTTATTTAATTATAATTATCTCAAAATTATGTGAGAAAACACATTTTAGTATTTGGTATCATATACGATATATTCAGCTATGATATAATAAATTCCCAACATTCTAGAGAGATTAATTAATTATTGCTACAAATATTTTTACCCATTAGCAGGGTGGACTTCCTAATATACTCTTGTCTCCAATTTGAAGTTTGATTAGACTTACCTGAAAATAAAAAAATATTATTAACATATAACTAATAAAATATAATATTTATAGTAACCGCTAATTATGCCCATATTTAGTATATTAAACTTTTACGCAAGTATAGAACTCTCAATATTTTAGTTTAGTACTAATTATCTTACATAATATTATCATTGAAATCTATATTTTTTATTCCCAAATATATTTAGACATCGATATATGTAAACAAAATGCATTAAAATAGTTAAAATTACGAAAATTATATTGAATATACTTTGGGTAATTCTTTTTAGTTCTGGTTCAATAATATTATATATTATGAGATTATATCAAATACTTCTTTTCTGCCAATGTAATTTAATATTTAATTTAAACATTTTTATTAAAATGTCAACAACAATCTTATAAAATAAATAAGAATACTGAAAAATTCAATGTATATTTCTACTAATAATCGTAACTCGTAAATACTAATTTGACTTGATTCTGTCCGAATAATTGCAAAGTTCAATAAAATCGTAACAAGCAAATTCTTCTGGAATTATTATCAAATAGTTATTCAATATTTTAATTGCATTTTGTTCAATATAAAATCGCTGTACTAGCCATCATTATTTTGTTTACCCTTTATAATTATTTTAAAAGCAAATTTCTGACACAGCTTATTTAATTTTTCACAGAACAAACTATTGCAAAATGTTAAATGAAAATGCTATATGAAAGGGCAGTCATATTTTGTAATAAACTGTTTGTTAATTACTTGATTTCTGCTGCGAAAATATTCAGCATAGATTTTACTATTGCAAAATTTGAAAGTTTCTGGTTTTGTATAATTCTAGGTTTTAGTATTTTATAATTATAAGAAAGTTAAGAAAAATAGTTAATTATAAGAAAGTAACATTTTAAGATTTGTTACAAATTTATATTTGAAATCAATATATGATTATATAAAAAGTTGGTGATAGATCAATGTTCGGTTTTTGTATAAGAATCTATATTTTCACCCTACAAGAAACATTGTGCCTTGTGGCAAGTTGCGTGAACTTCCCGATATGTATAAATAATCCATTTAATCAATAATTATGATTTTTTTCCCAACCATAAACTCGTTCACTAAACCAGAAACATTTTCGCTTTTACTAAACAACACATACGATTTTCAATTGAAGTTTTTCAAACATACTTATAATATCTGTAAAACATACGTGATGTAAAATAATTTCGAGTCATAATTCAGATAATAATCAAAGTAAATATTTTTGTAATAGGTAGTAAAGAAGGAGATGTTTAGAGTATCTCAAATACATTTAAAAAAA